TCCCAAGCATGCCCATGTATACATATATAAGGGTTAAGTATGTGACGATCACTTCTCAGAGTTTCGCTGGGGTCTCTCACAATAATACGTGCACGTGTGATAGTAGGCAACCAAATCCAAAATCTGATTCACAACACATACCTGTCATCACATCAACGAGCCAAATTAACAGTCCACATACTACACGGAGTCAACCCCAACCACCTTCAACACTCATACCCCTCGCTTTAGCCATGCAAGCCTTAAGACCCCCTGTCCAACCAACCTTAATTAAATACTCAGTACCTTTGTTAAATGGCCATTCAATAAAAGTCCGGGTGAAACCTTAATAAAACAACGAAAATCACCTGGGCTAAAGCCTTTTAGGTTGAGTGTAGAGGGAGAGTTGAAATTGAGTCGTAGACCGACGAATCGGCAACCGACCTGTTATCAGTGATAACARATGATGATCCTCAAGGGATCAAGCTGGATCTAATCCTGATCTTGAATCAAAAGATCAAAAGAACCTGTAACACACGACAGACCAATTCCCAAGCTAAGAATACAATTCCATAATACATCCTTCSTCAAAATCTCATTATAAGCTGAACGTAAGTCTACTTTTAAAGCAAATCCTTAAGCTAAAGGTAAATCAACTACAGACTCTCACCTATGCTGGGTGGATCGCCTGAATCACCACCTGTCAAAATATAATCTATCTCCTCTAAACCAAGGAAATTTGTCAGCGCTTCCCGTAGGAAAATTGTCTTTCCAGAATTTATATAAGTCTAAATATGAAAAATATAAATAAATTCTAACTCTGGACAGCCAAATCTTGTCTAACTCCCTGAGTTAGTAGAAATTTGGGCAGTGCTCCCTTTAAAAAAGGAGACTTTCCAGATTTATACTAAGCTAGATATAAAGCAGGAGACAATCTCTAACTCTTGGAAAATCAAATTATGTCTAACTCTCTGAATTAGTAGAAATTTGGGCAGTACTCCCTTTAGAAAAGGAGACTTCCCATATTTATACTAAGTCAGATACAAAAACAAAAATGATCTGTAACTCTGGACAATCAAATTTTGTCTAACCCTCTGAATTAGTAGAAATTTGGGCAGCACTCCCTTTAGAAAAGGAGACTTTCCAGATTTATACTAAGTCAGATATGAACTCGAACAAAGCTCGAGTTCAACTTTTTAGACTGAATTTAACTAACTCCTTAATTTTGTAGAAATTTCGGCAGCACTCCCTCGAGAAAAGTGCTATTCCAAAATTTATACAAGGCTAAGTTCAGATTTTGAAAGTAACTTTGGCTTCCCTCAGTTCAATTTTTGTCTAACTCCCCGAATTAGCAAAAATTTAGGCAGCACTCCCTTTAGAAAAGGAGACTTCTCAAATTTGAACTAAGCCGGATATATGAAAAAAAACAAGTTGAATTTTGACAAGTCAAAAATTTGGCTAACTTCTTGGATTTGTAAAAATTTCGGCAGCGCTTCCCGTAGGAAAAGTAGCTTGCCAAGATTTATACAAGGCCAAGTATAAGAAAAAGATACCAGAAAATGCAGGAAATGACCTAAAACAAAGTTGTTACAGAAAAAAACAGGAATTGACACCAACTCCTATGGCTCTAGCACGTGGCGAGCAACTACAGCAACTACCTATAGTAATGAAACTTAAACAAACTAGTCATCCCATCCAGTCACATGCAAACCAAACCACTAATGTAAGTACTCTCACCACTCCAAGTTTATTCCATATAGATAGTTCATGAACCTTCAAGTTCTTGAATCCTTATACCCATCTTACATAAGACATAAAGTTGGACCATTCGTCATGGAAACAATGYCCAACTTGYCTCTAAGATATACACGAACAGGTTGCACAACTACTTMTCTCTTCTTTTGGGCAGATGACTAAGCCATTCGCCATGGAAACAATGCCTAGCCGCCCTGAGCTGTTTAATATCCAAAATTTAGTATTTCTCTGACTTTGTTTTAAAAAAAAGCAAATATGGGCAGGGGACTAAATCATTCACAGTAGAAACAATGTTCAGCTTGCCCAAAGTATTTTCATTTATACTTTGTATTTTTTTTTTTTCTCTTCTTAATGATATGGCTTAACGCTGGACCATTCACAGTAGAAACAATGCCCAGCTGCCAGTTCACATGCAAATATACATAAAATACTTTCCTTTATACTTAGTTTAAATTATGTGCGTGGTTTTCAGGCTAAACCATTCACCATGGAAACAATGCTTAGCCTTAGACAAAAAATCCTCCCTCAAAATAAACAAGAATTTAAACCCCTTCAATCAGACAAACCCTCTGAGTTAACTAAGGTAACCAGACCATTCACAGTAGAAACAATGCCTGGTTCCCCAGAAACAATCAAATAAACACAGCGACCAGGCCATTCACAGTA